TGCGGTTATACCAAATACAGGGGCTTGCCAAGCCACTATGTCGTGGCCATGCTGGCGGCGTTATCACCTCGGGCAGGTGAGAAAGACGACACCCGGCTTCCCGTTTACAGAGACACGTGGGAAAATGCTGCTTGAAAGCCCGCTGGAGTGACTACTGCTCCGGCCACACGCCCAGCGAGGAGGCGCCTTCCTCGTAAGTTCAGCTGCATCAGCCGGGAAGGCTCTGGCTGCGCGTGTGGCCTGTGCTGCCTTCGCATGACCAGCAGGCAGCGGTTTTATTTGTGACCCCAAATTATTTATTTATCTGAGATACACCTACACTGAATTTATGTGAAAAATAAAGAAGTCGATATTAAGAAAAAAAACTGTAAATGAAAGATTATAAGAGAGTTCTGTTCTGTGGGCCGTTCCAGGTGAATTCCAGGACCCAGACACCTGGAATAATGTCCCCCAAACCCTTTACCTGGCCCCTGCCCTCAAAGGCCCAGTACCCTCCTAGTCCGGGTCACGCCAGGGCTTCGAGACCCATGGCCGCCATGATGGCTGAGAGGAGAAAGGCGCCGAACTCGAGGCCCTTCCTTCTAGGAGGCCACGGAACCCGCAGCCCCGCCCCACCGAAGCCCGCGGGCCTATCCCTCACACTCTCCCACAGTTAAAGTCCCGGAGGGCCGCTCTGTGCACCTACCAGTTGATGTCAACCAGCGAGAAAGAATCAAAATGGCAGGAACACGGTCGCCTCTCAGCCGCCTCTCGCGCAGCTCTCCTCTCAACTCGGACACCAAGACGCATGCGCAACAATGGGCTTAGGGTTGCGCAGCAACAGGCATGGTCTGAAGAGCGCATGCGCAGTGATGGGCGCGTGCAGCAATGGGCATGGTCTGAAATGCGCATGCGCGGGTATGAGCATGCGCAGCTAGGGGCATGCGCTCTGAATTGGGCTCCTGAGATTGGAGTTGAGGTTTTCCTGGTAAGGCCGCAGAGCGTCAAAACCACCAGATCAGCAGTAGACAGGAAAGCGGGTTCAAAGTGTGATTCTTCCCTACCCCCAATCATTCTTTTGCTTTCAGAAACTTTGTGAACAGACAGGCTAAGTGTAACCTTAATGGAGAATGTGTCTCAAAAACGTGGCCGTGACGGAAACATACTTTAATACCATGTTTACACGTATACTTGGACGAATCACTTCCCACTGTGATTCTGCTTTTGTGTCATGCATACAAGGAATTTGCTCACTTCCATAAATTAAATACATTCACCCCTGTTTTCTTAAGTTCTTTGCTTGTGTTACTGCGCATACATCTCCAGACAGTAAACGTTTCTCTGGATATACCTGTGGTCATTCGGTCAGTGTATGGTTTAGCAATACCCTTAGATAACGGTGCTAGGATTTAGGCTCAGTCCTCTGTCACATGGTAAGATAAGGCAACAAAAGCACGATTCACAAAAGAAAAGAAATAATATAGTCCCTGTTGAGAAGATGAAAAGCCAAGCTCCAGGCTGTGAGAAAGCATTTGCAAAGCACATATCTGACAACGGACCCATATCTAGAATATATAAAGGACTCTCCAAATAGTGAAAATACGACTGTATCCGTTAGAAAATGGGAAAAAGACACCGACATTTCACAGAAGAGGACATATGGGTGGCTAACAAACACTTGGAAATATATTCAATATATAGGGAAATGCAAATTAACATAGTGCTGCTTTATGGGTATGCAAGTATTATAACAGCCAAATTTAAAAAAATTAATAAAAATAACAAATGCAGGATAGGATTCGGAGAAACTGAATGTCTCATACACTGATGGTGGGTACATGAAAAGGAAGTCACTCTGGAAATTAGTTGGGCAGTTTCTTTAAAAAAAAAAACCACCATCAACAACACCTAAGCCCTAGCTGGTTTGGCTCAATGAATAGAGCATCGGCCTGCAGGCCAAAGGGTTCCAGGCTCGATTCTGGTCAAGGGCACAGGCCTGGGTTGCAGGCTCGGTCCAATGTGCAAAAGGCAGCCAATCAATGATTCCCTCTCATCATTGATGTTTCTATCTCTCCCTCTCCCTTCCTCTCTGAAATCAATAAAAAATATATTTTTTAAAAAAAACTAAACCTACACTGGACATATGACCCAACAATTATACTCCTGAATCTTTATCCCAGATAAATGAAAACTTATATCCACACAAAAACTTGTATACCACTGTTCACAGCAGCTTTATTTGTAATAGCTAAAATCTGGAAATTGAAATGTTCACCAACATATGTATGGCTAAAGAAACTGTGGTACATCCATATCATGAAATACTACCCAGCAATAAAACAAAATGAACTTTTGATGCATACAACAATTTATATGGACCTCAAGAGCTACGCTGAGTGAAAAAAAATCTAATCCCAAAAGGTCACATACTGCATGATTTTGTTTTTTATTAAAAACTTTTAATGTTGACATTATTGCAGGCTTCCTCCCATTTCCCACCTTTTACCACCTCCGCCTCCTGCTTCCCCCTCTTTTGCATTCCTTTTTATGTAACAATCTGAAAATAAAACAGTTATAAAGATGGAGAGCAGTTTAGTGGTTTCCCAAGCTTAGGGATGGTACTAGGGAAGGCTGTAGGTGTGACTACAAAGAAGTGGCACAGGAAGATCTTTGTGGTGATGGTAGAGTTTTGCCTCTTTTAAAAAAATACATTTTTATTGATTTCAGAGAGGACGGGAGAGGGAGAGACAGATAAAAACATCAATGGTGAGAATCATCAATAGGCTGCCTACTGCACGCCCCCTACTGGGGATCAAGCCTGCAACCCAGGCATGTGCCCTTGACCAGGGTTGAACCCGGGACCCTTCAGTCTGCAGGCTGACGCTCTATCCACTGAACCAAACCAGCTAGGACAGAGTTTTGCCTCTTGATTGTAGTGGTGGTTACACAAAGCTACACATATGACAAAATCGCATAGAATCATACACATGCTTTGTGCCGATGCCAATTTCCTGATTTTGATATGGTATGCCAGTTATGCAAGATATAATTACCTTGGGGGATATATGAACAGTAAATATCTTGAGGGAGATGAGGTGAAGTGTACATAAGACCTACCTGCAGTATCTTTGCAACTTCCCCGTGCATCTATAATGATTTTTTTAAATTAAAAAAAAAAAGCAGAACACACACACACACACACACACACACACACACACACACCATCAGACCTAGTGCTTCTTCTGGGATTCAATCAACAAAATGTAATGAAAAGTATTTTTTAAAAAACGAGCCAGAAATACTACACATATGCTTTATAATTCATTGGCGACAAGGTAAGGATAGAAAAGTCGAAACCCAAAGAGGAAAAATGACGTCTTGCACCAAGGGAAGAGTATTGTAGAGAGTATGGAACCATTACTATCTAGTTGCTCTTGCCATGGGGGAACTTCTCCCAGCATGCCCCAATGTGGTCTTAAAATTCCTAAAGGAAAGATTGCTATGTTTCTGGAGCTGGATTGACTCGCCAGCTGATAAGAGTCTTTGGCATGGGCTGGATGCTGTTATTCGTTCTCTGTTCCCAAAAGTATTCCCCCTGAGGGGTTGGCAATGTTGGCACTCATGACCCCATCTCTTTTGATCTTCCTTTGCCTGAAGGTGAAAGTCTTAGATTTAATCTGCCCATTCGTGTAGGAACCTCTGAAACATCCTTTTGCGTTTTTGCTCTGTTTTTGTCTCTTCTCATCCCTTTCCTGCTCTCTGTTTTTGTCAGAGAGCGGGGGGTTGCGTGTTCTCAGAGTTGAGCTTTAAGTTGTTGAGTTCCTGTATTAGCTTATCACAACAGGAAGAATGAGAGGTTGTTGCTTTGCTCCCAGTGGAGACTCCAGAGGTGGTGCCCACATACCTCAGGCAGTAGTAGCATTCACATTTGAATCTGTTCTGATCTGGGTCACGTGAAGAAGAGGTTTTTGCTTTTCTGTCAGTCTGATAAGGTGCCACGGACTTGACATGTCTCCATCTGGGGCGTTCCACTAACTTCTTTCCCTTTTTCTTCTGAGGTACCCTTGAACTTTTCCATTGCTGCTCTTCTTCCATCCTCTAAAAAAGTACATATAATAGAAACTCAAAGAGTATATTTAAAACATGCCTTGTCGTATATCACTCAGAGAATACCTACTAACAAACACATAGAGACACATTCAGAAAGAGTCCCTGATAAATTAAGCAACTGAAATCTTTATTTCAAATTTATTTGTTGGGGCATTTCTTTTTTAATTTTTTAAAATTGATTTCAGAGAGGAAGGGAAAGGGAGAGAGAGACTGAAACATCAATGACGAGAGAGAATCATTGATCGACTGGATCAAACCGGCAACCTGAGCATGTGCCCTTGACCGGAATTGAACTCAGGACCCTTCAGTCCACAGGCCGACGCTCTATCCACTGAGCCAAACTGGCTAGGGCATTATTTGGTCATTTCTTTTGATGGATACAACATAAGAAAACAATCTAGTCTAGAATTTTGGAATAATGGCTTTAAGCCAATTTCCTCCCTACTGGATTACACATGGCGCAAGAAACTGCAGGATCACATTTCTTCAAGTGGAGAGTAGAGATCACAGTTTCTTTCTCTTTCTCTCCCTTCACCCCCAGTTGAAATGGTCACTTGGTTCTTCTCCTTTATTCTGTCAGTTCAGTGAATTGCATTGATTATTTTTGTGTGTAATAAGAATACTTAATATAAGACCTACCCTCTTAGCAAATTTTAAAAGTATACGTATTGTTATGTATAAACATAGTTTTAAATGTACAAATACTGATATATGTTGAAGCACCACCTCACAAGAAAAAACCTGTTCTCTTTTTTAAAATATTTTTTATTGATTTTTAGAGAGGGGGGAAGGAAGAGGGAGAAAGAGAGAAACATTGATGTGAGAGTGGGGATCGAGCTTGCAACCAGGGCATGTGCCCTGACAAGTGAATAGAACCTGCAACCTCTTGGTGGCGTGGCATGATGCTCAACCAACTGAACAACACCAGCCAGGGCAAGCCTGCTCTTGAACTTTAAAAAAAGAAACCTCATTCTCTCCATCAACTTTGCGTAATGTAATATGAGACAGCCCTCTCCCAACAGACCTTGAGATTCTCAGGGCCTATAAAGAAATTTATCCCTGATCCTAGGAGGTAAGATGTTAAGCACAATGACATATTTACACTGCCACTTGTTTGAAGAAGAACAGAAACAATGAAAGTGAGTGTTCTTAACTCTACATGACCTCTATTTTCCTCAACTACAGTCCCTCTCCCCAGATGGGAAAAAACTCCTAAGATTCCTAGAAATAAATATGGGCTTAATTTGCCCACTACCTTGGGTTTCCTGCACCAGCTCATGCCCCTCTTTATAAGACAAGTAAAAAACTTTAAAGGAGAGAAAGGAACCTAAAGAGTAAGTTATTGGTCACAGACCCAGTTTTGTATGTGATTTCTCACGTTTTATCCTTCCAACCTTTGACAACATTTCCCTCTAATCCAATCCAAAATATATTTACTGAGCGCGTGTCACATGACCTCCCCAGTGCCAGGTGATACAGAGATATGTGACAGATAACAGTCACCATTTATTTATTTAAGAATACTTTTGGATTAGGTACGGTGAGTTAGATGCTTTACATCCATCGCTCATTAATTCTATCCCAAAACCTTCAAAGTAGGTAAGGCTGTCATTTTGCAGATGAGGAAACTGAGGCTTAATAACAGAATGACTTAAGGGTCAGGGCCAGCACTGGAATTCATATGTGTTCTATATTACACCAAAGCCAATGTCAACGCAAATTGTGAATGTGAGTGAAATTGGGTTGAGAATGGAGGGGGAGTGATAGTCGGGTCATGAGGTAGGGGGACATTAAATTTCATGGTAAGAGCACCAACGAGGGCACAGATCATCTTACATAGCCTGAAACATTCTCCGTCAAGTAAGTAGTTGCATTTGCAATCTCTCTTGGGGCAGAACTGAGCATGAATTCTCAACTGATCCCTATAGTATAAGGGGTTATATATTTATAACTAGAGGCCCAGTGCATGAATTCGTGCTTGGGTGGGGTCCTTCTGGGTAGCCTGCAGGGATCGGCCAAAACCTGCAGTCCAACACCACCTTCTGCTCCTGCCTGCTGCTTGCACTCATCCGGGCCCCACTGTGCCTGCCCCAGGCTTGCGCCCAGTCTCTCCTAATCAGGAGAGGCTTGCACTGCACGCACCATTGCCAGCTGTGAGACCTGCATCTGGTGGCGCCCATCCCAAGGGGGATGGGGGAGGGGCCAGGACTTAATAGGCCCTCAGGGCTGGCTGTTGGGATGCCCTTGCTGGCCCAGGATCCACGGATCCACATCTGCCCGCTAACATTCATGCCAGTTGTCAGGAGCCACGTGGTGGCCACTTTTATATACTTTCTTCCTTGTGGAGCGTCTAGAGAGGAAGCGGCTGCAGTGCCCAAGGCCGACTTCCAGGAGGCTGGTGGCACTGTTGGGATTGTGCCAGAGGTGCCGGTCCAGCCATGCCAGACCAGTTCTCTGGAGATTGGACCTGTAGGACTACTGAGGGAGTGGCTGCTGCCTGGCTAGTGAGTCACCAAGATGGGTCCCTCAGCTAAGGGGTACTCTTGCTGAGGGAGAGCACTGACCACCAGGGGGCAGCTCCTGCATTGAGCATCTGTCCCTGGTGGTCAGTGTGTGTCATAGTGACTGGTCAACCAGTCGTTCAGCCTAATCCACCATTCAGTCGCTGGGATTTTATTATATAGGATATTTATATACCTATCATACATATGTTTATATGAGGGGAGTAAATGAACTATCCCTGTCCCACCTTTGGCTACTGAACACTTCCAGGTTGGCTCCTGTGTCCTTGATGTGTCCTTATCCTTTGACTGAGCACTAACAACACAACATGCCCAATGCTAGAGTGTTTCTTATGCATGTATCATAATTTA